GAAGCTACAGAAGGTGGTTCTGTACATTTACAGCACTGGAAGATTAGGTAAGAGCTAGGTATTTATAGTTGTTCAAGCTGAGAGAGCTCAGGATGCATAGATGACCACCGGTGACTGCACACAGACATACATGAACATGCACACACACATATGTATATGTATACATATTGTGTGAAATTAAGTATAGCTAAATCAACTTAGGGAACCAGATTTGGATAAGGATATGGGAAGCAACGAGAGTCAAAAGAAAAGACTTCTAAACTCAAGTTGGTGGTGCAGAACAGGAGCTCTAGCAGTGGAGGTAAGAGAGATCAGGTGAGGAAAGTTTCATGCATCGACAGAGTGGACCAAGTTACACATGGACAGAAGGAGACAGATGCGCTGGGATGCTTCCTCCTAAATAATTTTGATAACATCGCTAATCCATTTGTCCTATTTCCTTCCTATGTTTTTGCCTTATTTTCACCCTATTTCCTTCCTATATTTTCACTGGATAGACTAGAAGGGAGGAAAAAGGGATTTGAGAGATTCAATCAACATAAGGTACTAAGTGGGAAATGCTAGAGTCCTCTTTTACCCAACCATCAATCAATCACTCACATCCCTATTTCCTGACCCTCTGAATCCACTCATCAACTAAGACTACCACAGGCTTTAGAAACAATTATCCACATCTCCCGTAATCAGTCATTTTCACACTGTTCTGCAAAAACAGTTCTACACAAAAGAAAAAGGGGGAATGAATTTGCTAGTCTACAAAAAATCACTTTATTTTGACTATGTTTAAAATTTACTGCAGCAAAGCTTCCTGAGTTCTGTGCTGTTTTAGCTCTTGTGTTTGATGTGGCTATTTATTTGGAGAGGAAGTTGGGGAACAGAGTGGTTTGCTTCCCCTCAACAAACACCAACTGATCAGATACCCTGTTGGGTTAGATTCGTATGATGCAGTCTGCAAACTGGCCATCAGTATACCGGTTATCCTTGCCTTCTGGCTACGTGATACAAAGACAGGACCTATAACACAATGCTGCTTAATATATCAATAGATTGAATGCACAAGTGAATGAATAAATGAATTCCTAAGAAGTAGGACAATGGGTATTTTATCCTGGCAGACAGCTGCCACATTACATGAAACATCTTAGCTCTGTATCTCAGTCTTAATAAACTTCAGGTCCTCAATTACATTAAAACAGATAAAATTAATGACAGAAAATGAGCGGTTGGGGGAAAGATTAGTTTCTGGAACAAAGATAATGATTTGACCATAGCCATAGCTGCAGCATGGATGTGAGTTAAAATCCAGGCCTTGAGGGATTCCTGACTAGATATTGTGTCCTTGATGTGCCCTTGTGTCAGACATTGAAATGGCTTTGTGTTGGCAGTTCCTATTGGATTCCCAGCCACTAATTTCTTCACTCCAGTTTTTTCTCTCATTACTAATTTCTGCTAGAAAGACTGAGAGAATGAACAAAGTGGTCCCCATGCCCAGTTTGCTTTTCATATTGAGATGGCTACATGTCCAAAGAGCTCAACCTTCTGGGCTCTTCTGAGTTCTTCCCAAGGGAAAGTGCCCCTCCATGTTCCTCATCCTGGGAAACAGCATTGTCTTTCCTGCAGATGGCCAAGCCAGGAACAGATGTGCCCCCTAACCAACCACTGGATCCTCTGAAATGTTTCCCTCCTAAACATGATTCTACTCTTCATCTATGTCATCAAGTCCCTCCACTCATCTCCTATTGATCATGTCTACTGTTTTACCCCAATTTGAGTCCCATTTCCAACTAGGAAGATGTCCTCAGATCCAGCTGGGGTTATTCTTCTCTTCCTTAAATGTTGAAGAGTAGCTATACCCAGACAAAGGCCAGACTCCTTACCAGAATGTACAGCTAGCTTTGTTTGCTTTCTCTCCTAGCTTTTTAGCCCCCTTTCCCTTCCCTGGATGTTTTGGTGATAAATCACATTGTCACCTTAAATATGAAGCCTTTCCTCATCATTTACTTGGTTCTTCAGCTTCATCTATTGCTCATTATTTCTTGTGCCTCCTCCTCAGCTTGAGGAAGCACCACTGCAGTGGTTCAGGAAATTACATCCAGGCACGGCCATGTCTAAAGGAAGAAAGCAAGTGTTTTTCTCTTGACCTTTTTTCTTAGGAGTGAGGATTCTTTTCCAAGAAATCCTCAGAGGACTTTACCTCATGTTTAATTGGCAAAGGTTGAGTCACATGCCCTTTTCAAAATGAGTTACTGGCAGGTGGAACAGTATGACTGTGATTAGCTTTATTTAATCATTTGGGGGTGGATGTCAGGGAATAGATAAAAAGTGGTGGCAGCCTCAACTGAACTTGTTCTGAGGTCTGTTACTGCCACTAGAGGGTAGCCTCCTCGCCACCAGGAAGGGAAGAAAGGCTTTCCTTACATTAGAGAAGGGAGGAGAGCTAACAGGGCCTTTGGAGCTGTATAGACACAGGCTTGTTCTCCACTTCTCTATGGTATCTGCTCAGAATCTACTGGGCCTCTGAAGTTCAAGTCTCTGCCCTTCAGGTTTCTCAGATGAAGTGGAGGCTACTTCCCACTATCATAGATAGCAGCTGCAATGGCTGCAAGAATTTCCTTCCCTTATCATTTCTGTATTCTATGTATTTTTGTTTGAGTGAAGTCACTGCTGCATTTGTATGTATGGATGTGTTTGTGTATACTTGTGGTTTTGTTTATTCATGGCTTGAAAGATAATGGGCAAAACTATCTCCTAAGAAACATGGTTTTTCTGTTATATCTTTCTGGAATTTATGAGATCTTTGTTGACAATTTGAATTGTATGCTATATAAAAAAATCTTATCTTAATCTAGTTTTTATTCCATGAGAGTGTTTCCAGTGTGTCCATAGTGGTTTATCATAGTCCCTGGAGATGATTTATGCAGAAAGTTTTTGTGAGTATGGCATTTAGAGTAATATAATTTTCTCTCTAGACATTACACTGATGTCAAACATAGTAGAATCTTAAAGAAGTCCCAAGTTTCCCCCAAACTTATTACAATTCTGAGTCATTTATTTATTTATTTATTGGGTCTGGTTGTGGGGCCTGAACTCTGGGCCTGGGTGCTGTCCCTCAGCACTTCAGCTCAAGGCTAGCGCTCTACCACTTGAGCCACAACATCACTTCCGGCTTTTTACTTTTTGCTTATGCGGTGCTGAGGAATCGAACCCAGGGCCTCAGGCATGCAAGGCAAGCACTCTACCACTGAGCCACCTTCCCAGCCCCCTGAGTCTTTTATATTTTATTTTATTTTATCCAATAGCAGTTAGTAAAAACCCTTGAAAAACAATTGGAGAAGTTATCTTAGTCTACTAACAAACTTCTAGCCCTCAGGTTAGATCTGCGGTCTTCATCACTAAAGGATGACATAGGCATGCATGGGATGGACTAACTTTGTACTCCAAAAATAATTAATGAGAAATTCACTGAACACAAGCATTTTCACTTTGAAGAAGTCATTTTGCACATTGGGACTAAGGAGGCACCCCTAAAATCTCTATCAACTTCCGTGCCCTAGTGGAAAACTCTAGGATGATTAGCACAAACACCAGTTCTTTTTGGTACTGAAAGAGATTTTGACAGTTTATTTGTTGTCATGTTTGAAATGAAATATAGAAGATGGATGAGCTGTGGAACTCGTTGAGCTAGGGATTCTTGTCACTCTGTGCTGTAATGCATTTCCTGTCTGGGAATTCTTCCCAGTCTCTGGTGAGTTGGCTATGAGGTAAAGGGAAAGAAAGTATAGGTTTTCATAATGAAAGAATAGCTACTGGGAGTCAGTTGTTATGGGAAAATCTCCTCATTGCTGCCTCTGCCTTCCAAGTGCTGGTGATGCAGGCATACATCACGATGCTCAGCTTGAAACCAAAAAGTTTTAAAGAAAACTCGAATTTGCAATGGTTCTTGATAAAGGCAATATGAATCTGATAGAGCACTAGGAGATGCTGAAAAACTTTTGAAATATTTCGACTTCAGTAGCTGTGCAAGAAAACAGGTTGTTTATTTTATTAGATCTCAAAAGTTTGGTATAAGCAGGTTTAAAATGGGAAAGAAAAAGCTATAATGGAGCTAACTGGAGAAGAAGAAAGGGAAGGACAGAGGAGGAAAATAAAGAGTCTTTGAAAAAGGGGAAATGTGTGGAAAGAAGCAGGTTTTACTTATAAATCACATCACAGGACACGCATACTATCATTGAGTTCCCATGTTTATCACATGTGAAAGCAAAGCAAGAAAAGCTAGGCAGGCTATTGTGCCAGCAGGTGGCGCCTTAAACATCTCATAAAAACAAGAGGAATGAACAGGATTCCCTAATTTTCCTTGAAGAAAAGTTCAGTCATCAATGTACATTTATACTGGGCAGGGATAGTAAGGGGAAACAAAGGAGGAGGCAACAATGCTTGATAAGAAATGGACTCATACCCTGCTCATGTAATTGCACCCCCTCTGTACAGTATTTTCACAATTAAAAAACGTATTAATAGAAATAAAAAAAAACCCACACATGTTGGGCTGGGAAGGTGACTCAGTGGTAGAGTGCTTACCTCGCATGCATAAGGCCCTGGGTTCCATTCCTCAGCATAACATAAAGAGAAAAAGCCAGAAGTGGCACTGTGGCTCAAGTGGTAAAGCCCTAGCCTTGAGCTGAAGAGCTGAGGGATAGTGCCCAGATCCAGAGTTCAAGCCCCATGACCGATCAAAAACAAAAACAAAAAGAAGAAACACATGTTTACAAATTAATTTCTTTTCCAAAGATTTATTTCTTTTTCTAATTTTATATTCTAGTCATGTTCAATTTAATTCCTCTAAATGTGAGATACCTCAATGGATTTAAAATATTTCTGTTCATTTCTGTTTATTTCTCTGTATTTCATACTGTGTTTCTTTAGTGATTATTGTCTGAAGTATTGTTGTAGTATATTAAGTAGCTAGAGAGGAAGGGATTTATCTGGAACTGTTTTCACAATTAATCCAGTCCTCCATGGCCAAAGATTTCCCCAATGCTAAGCAACCTCTCGGACTCAGGGGGCACCCTGTGCCGGAGATAGTGAGCATTTTTGGCTTTTGCAAACAACTCTATGTAGGTTAGATTTGGGGACTCATCTTGGAAGCTTCCTGCATACTCCGTGGACTCTGAGAGAATTTGTGTACTAGCATTCCTGCCTGGCTTTGGATCAGGGTTGAGGGATCTGGTCTCATCAGCATGTGTCATTATATCACCAGTTGGGCCGGAGCCATGGTCTTGCTCTATGGGACCGGTGGAAACCTCTTGACCTTGACATGGAACAGAGATGCCCTTGTTGGGGTCTATGCTCTCAGGGAGAGTTACAGAATCTTCTTCCCCTGTTGATGGTTTCTCTTCTTCCATGAAGCAGGCACCAATGTCACTTGGAGATTGCTGGTGTTCTTTGCCCCTCAAGGAGTTTCTCATCTGGTGCTTGGTTTTGTGTATTTCCGGTGTCATATAAGCTCCCAATGCTCTAAAAAAGAGGGTTTAAAAACAGAAGATATCTCTGAACACTGATGAAGGGGCTTGTATTAGATCTTTCTGGTGTGTACCACTGTCCCTTCAGTATGACATCAGCTGAGGAACTGAGGTGGTGAGAACAGGTGGGGAGTAGGAACAGGAAGTGATCTTGTGGTCAGAACAGGAAGTGACCTTGTAAGAACAGGGAGTGATCTTGTAAGAACAAGAAGTGACCTTACAGGGGAGGGGGAAGTTTGTGCTTAGGCAGAAGGAGAAGAATATAGTAGAGATCAGTGGAGAGGTTGAGGCCATAGCCATGAGTTTAATAATTTCTTACCTGGTTTTAGGTTTTAGGACTCTGTGTTTCTGCCCTTCCAGCGGCAAGAATGTGGAGGCTTGTGGCCTTTTCTGAATTCCACTTTTAAAATCAGAGGAGAATCTTTTCTTGAGGATCTCTGCTTTGATTAATTAATTAATAAGTGAGTTAATTAACTTACAGTTCAACAAAATGAATACCAGGAAGCTGGAACATGTGTTGTGTGTGGAGGAAGTCAAAGGGAGGGGGGCAGATGAGCGTAGTGAGGAAAGGTGAACAAATGTGGTCATCATATTCAATGTACACATGTAATGATGGAAGCAGGTAATATGAGGGATGAGTGGGTTGGGAGAAAGGGTGGCATCGATCAATATGACATGTTGGATTGAATTCCTGTATAACCACTTAAAGTTTAACAAAAACAAGAAGTGTGCTAACATGGGCTGGATTGTGTTCCTAGAATTTCACATGTTGAAGTCCTAATCTCCAGTTTCTGAGACTTCAATTTTGTTTGGAAATAGGCTCTTCACAAAGATGATCAAGTTAAAATGAGTTCACGGGGTGGGTTCTAATATGGGATGATGAGTTGCTCTCATGAAAATAGCAACGTGAACAGAGATACTCAGGGAGAGCACTTTGTGAGGGGAGGAGTATGAAGAGGAGACCCCCATCCACCCCACAGGAAAGGGGCTACAGCAGCTCCTTCCTCTCCCTGCAGAAGAGCCAGGCCTGCCCACATGAAGATTTGGACTTCTAGATTCCAGAACTGGGAGACATGAAGTTTGTTGGGTCAAGCCATTCAGTGATAGGGTCCTAGAAAATGAATGCAACAGGAAAAGATGAGTCAGGGAGCTAAAAAGAAGGCTTCTGGAGAATGAATATATGTGGGTTCATTATGTACACAGTTGTTCAGCACAAGGGGTAAAAATGGAAAATCTGGAGCACTTGTATGTGTCTTTGTTTAACTTGTAACAAAGCCTTACAGACAGTGCAAATAGTAAATCCTCTTTTGCAACCCAGAACTTATTGCTGATATGAGATTTTGGTACATGTAAGAAGGAATATGATTACTACAACAGTTGGCAATGTGAGGCTTTAATTCACACAGGTTGCTCTGAGAATAAAGTTGATGTAAAATTAAAAAAATGAAAAATCTTTATGCCGGTCCTAATATTTACCTACAGCATGTCAAAGAGGATTAAAAACACGGATATCAGAGGTCTAAACTGCCTTGGTTCACTAAGGTTTTGTTTGAATGTTTTACTTGGCAAGCACAATGTTTTCAAAAATGAAATAACTGGGTTGGGAGCATTTCGTCTCAGTCATTACAATTATGTGACTTCCTATTCAGAGTCTGAAATGACCAACCATACTTAGATGAGCCTTCCACTTCTTGTAGTCATGGCTGCTACCAAGGATCCAGTTCCTTTCCGGATATCTTACAAGTTGGCCATTGGGAGTTGAATTCTTGCATTTGTTTGCTTTAGTAGGAATGAGTTCCTTAAATCTCCAGTGGGTTAGGGGTGGGGTCTAGCTCAGTGGTAAAGCACTTATCTATCCTGCACAAAGCCTTGGGTTTGATGCTCAGCAGTACAAAAAGGATAAAGTATCTACAGTGGTTCTTAGACACGAAGCACAGAAGTATGATTGTACCATGAACCCAGAACTCACATTAAACTCATATTCTTTCATCTGAATGTTTCTTTGTGAAGTAGCCAGGATAAACAATAGTCCTCTACGAGTGTCTCTTTCTCTCCTGTTCTTGGAGACAGTTGGGGTATTTTCAAAATATGGCAGAACCATATCTATTCCCTATAAAAGAAAGGGTTTTGAACTACATCTAGCTAGGCTTCTTTTCTGCTGTTGATGGTTACAGTGCCAAAAGGTTCTTCTCTGCAGTGTGATCTTTCCACGGTGTGATCTGCAAAGGCGTGATACAGCTGTATCCATGTGCTTTGCCCCAGTTGATTCAGTACCACTGAAACTCTGCTTTGTGCCAAGCATTACACTCTGGTGGGCATATTCCTCATTACAAAGCTCAGCTAATTCTACTTCCTAAATGTCCCAAGAGTCTGCTCTCTTCACTTCCTCACCTGGCCAATACCATATTTTGGGATTTCAGATAATGATGTTCATTTGGAATTCTTTCAAGCATGTCTTTACCCTGAGGCTATTTTGTGTGTGTGTGTGGGGGGGGCTTGTCCTGGATCGTGAACTCGGCCTGGGTACTGCCTTTGAGCCTCTTTGTGCTCAAGGCTGGTGTTCTACCATTTGAGCCACATACCAGCTTGTTTGAGTAGTTTATAGGAGATAAGAGTCTCATGAGAACTTTTCTGCCCGGGCTGGCTTTGAACCGCTATCCTCACATCTCAGCCTCTTGAGTAGCTAGGATTACAAGCATGAGCCTCTGGAGCCTGGCTCCCTCAATATTTTTATCTTAAGCACTGTAGTTAGAGGGTGCTCTTTCTGTCTCTCTCTGTCTCTCTCTGTCTCTGTCTCTCTGTTTCTCTCTCTCTCTCACACACACACACACAAACACACTTTTGAACTTTCAGTCTCCTCACTAACAAACCCTAAAGGATAAAATCTAGTTTCTTTTGCAAGATCTGTGAGTCTATTTATAATTTGAGGCTCTATCTACCCTATTTGGCTTCTGGAAACTTCATATGAACCTTCCCAGCCCCCTTTCATCTACACCGAACTATTTGGAGCAAGCCATGTTCACTGATGTGCCTTTCTTCTGGATATGGCCCCACTCATTCCACCGCCCCCATCTCACCCACATTCTCTTCCTACTTCTGGATTCTGCGCACAGTGCCTTTCCTGGGATATCTTATGTAAGGGTCCTTTGACAGATGTAGGATGCTTGCAGTACTCCTGCCCTACTTGGTCAACAACTCTAATTTAGTTATTAGGATTTTTGAAGATAATGTTGTGTAAGTACAGCTACCTCCAATTGAAATATGAGCATCTCTAGGACGCAGGCCATATTTTCTCAGATTTCTTCTGTTCCTGCCTCTTTCTGAGTAGTTGTAATCATGTTTTGTGATTTCTGGTCTGAAAAACATCTGATGCAGAATAATATGCCTTAGTATTTTTGAGTTTCATTTCTAACCTACTGAGGCAAAGCTCTAAGATGAGGACTAGCAATACACATGTTTAAAAATTTTTCACTCAGGAGCCTAGAATTGAGTATGGATAGTGGTTTTGGGAAATGGATTATGGAGAATCATTGTCTGATAACTACTGGTGCAGTTTGTGGTATTTCCTTTCTCTGTCCCTAATTTCACTGTCAAGAGGTCTGAGACATATAGGACACAGAAACACAAAGAACATGGAAACAGTTCATGGAAAATTTGAATCAATATTTCCTTTCTCCTTGTCCAGACAATTTCCATATACCGTGGCTGTGGAAAATGCTTTACTCAGCAAAGGATGGCTACCTCCTTAGGGTTGGGTCTTTTATATGAATGAGCACATGATCTCCACTGGTTTATTTATTTATTTTATTTTATTCCTTGAGGCTTAAAGTGAGAATCCACCAAAAGTTTTCTAGGATCCTTTCCCAGTAAGTAAACACTCCTGCTGGGTTGATTGAATCATTTATTGCAGGGAAAATGAAAACTGAGGCATTCATTTTAATCAGGAGTCATCTTTTAAACTCAAGGTTGCCAGAAATACTTAAAAATAATTAGAAATAACTGAAGGGTAAAAATAATTGCCAGGCGAAATGTTTGGTCATTACTCATGGCTTGTGTGATCTATCTGTTAAACTATGTAGATCTGAAGGGCTTCCTAGTCTACCATGTCACCCGACTCCTTCAGAATTTACATCATCATTGTACTTGTCTCAAGGAGGAAGCGGTACAGTCATAAAGAGCAGAGTTTACCTATGCTATGCCAAAACATGAAGTAATAGTAAAATCTAGTTATTGTAATGACAGAGAAAGAAAACCAGTTTCTGCAAACTACAATGGAGGCAATTTTGAACAAAACAGTAGGAGACTTAAATTCAGTAATGAATTTCTACTGCTGATCAGAGCAGACATGTCTTTGGTATTCCTAATTTACATCCTACTCCATTTGCTCACTGAATCCTCAAGTATGTCCATGTCACATTTCAAGAAGCTGAGGTTATAATCTCAGTTTATATCAGGTTATCATCTTAGGTTCTAATCTCGCTCTTTCTCTCTCACTCTCAACCTTCCTTTGATAAAATGTGCAAGGAGAGTGACTCATACTGTAGTAAGCCACTCAATAAATTAGATTGCAATCAATAGTTAGCTTGCAAGGAGAAAAGGAGGGCATGGAATCAAGTCAGCTCAGATACAGTGAAAGGAAAGCAGATTGAAAAGGAAAATGAGAAAGTGGAAATGCCATCACTGGCAGCCTGAGAAGTGTTAAACGCTCGAATCCCAGACCTGTGGGATTCAAGGAGGGCGGGAATGAGAGTATGGAAGGCAGAGGTAGGATAAAATTCAGATGAAGAGGGAAGTTCTCACTCTGCTGGTGTTGAGTCTCTGCAAGGACCCCTGTCTTGAGGTGAGGCTCTCATTCTCCCCTCAGCCAGGTGGTGAGCGCTGCCCATCACCCCACCCTGCCTCCGCAGGAGACAGCTCCACAGGCCTTACCTTGATGCAGCCTCTGCAGTTCTTTCTGGAGCTGTCTCTGCTCCCAGGCCAGCGATTTCATACGGTAGAGACATATGTCCTCCAGTCTTCGCACGCTTAGGCTGAGTCTGGCCTCTGCTTGCTTGGCATTCTTCCTCTCCATCTCAATATTATACAGTGGTCCCCTGACCATGGTCCTCTTCATCCTCCTCATGGGCTAGAGACAATGTGACAAAGGCCCTTCCAGCCCACCTCAACTCAGCTGGGGAAATATGGCTGAGAGGCTGACCTCTGCCCTTGCATAGGCAGCCATGGTTTGAAGCCTGTGAATTTTTGAAGCCAAAGCTACTCACTTGCATGGAGGCGCTATTGGTAAATGCTGCCTGTAATAAAATTAGCTTATGGAGTGACACAGAACAACAGAGGGGGAGCTCGTTTCCCTGAGTCTCAGCCTCCTTACCAGCTTAAACAGTGATTGACAGCAACCCCCAATCAGATGCCACAAAGACCACAGAAGTGTAGGAACTATTGCTTGGGGAAGAAAATGAAGAGTCTGTTCAGAGGTCCAGAGAGGATTTGGGGGCTTAGGGCACAGATTATTTGGAGTCCCCTCAGCTCACCTACTCATGTACAGGCAGGATATTCAGTCGCTAATCCTGCCACATCCCTGTGCTAATGGAGAGATTCATAACTTTGCCCTGTAATAATTCAGGAGAGTTAATATCTCAAAAAGTGGACTGAAAGTTATGGAAACAGCCAAGGTGATGGAGGGAGTGAAGAAAAAGTTTATACACACACACACACACACACACACACACACACACACACACATATATATCACTATCTATGTATATATCCATATAGAGACACATACATATGTGTCTATATATGTGAATTTTACTTATCTCGTAGGAAGAATAATATTAGGTTATTTGCAGGGAAACGGATGGATACGGAAAAACATGCTAAGTAAGTCAGGCACATATTTTCTTTCATAAATGACAGATAGATATGTAAACATATACAAGGTTAAATATACTAATATATTGACTAAGAATAAACAAATGTATTCACTAAAGCGTGATACATGCAGGGGAGGATTTCAATGGTGTAACTTTTAAACTACTAACTCCCAGTGTAACAATATGAACACCAGGAAGCTAGAAACATGCATTGAGGGGATGGGGAATGAGATCATGGAGAAGTGGGCAGATAGATGGAGAGATGAAGGGGGATGAATGCAGTCATAATATCCAGTGTACATGTGTGAAAATGGACCCGGGTAAACTGAGGCAGTAGGTGGGGTTGAGGAGGATGAGAGAGGAAGATGAAAGGGGTGACATTGATCAGGATGCCCTGCACTCGTAATCTGACATGTTGAATTCAAACTCCTTTATGTGATTACTGAAACACAATACAGAAAGAAAAGCAAGACGAGTCCGCAGAGTGAGGTTTACTGATTACAAATAGAACAGCCTAAAAACTAAATAGCCTGAGTGGCTCATGGAAAATCAGATTGGGCTTAAACGCCTCTTTCTGCCCACCTCCATCTTTGAGATTTTAAATCCTTTCTACTCTTCACACACCCTGATGCACAAGGCCCGGTGCACTCCCACAGGTTCCTAAACAGTAACATCCAACACCAAGGGAGACATTTTTCCTCTCCTTTCACATCTGCCCCCCCCCCCCCCCCCCCCCCCCCCCCACCCCCCCCCCCCCCCCCCCCCACCTCACAGTGATCAGCACGACATGGGGGCAGGATATAATTAGATTGCTAAAGATACAGCCGCAGTGGTAATTATACAGAAAAAAAAAAAAGATTAGCGTAAGACAGAGACTACAGTCATAGACAAGACAGCTAGATTTAGAGCCTAAATAGTAGACTAAACTTTCATTGAAGAAGCAGGTAAGTAGCACTTACCTACACATGCAGAGTTCTCAGCATGAGCCTTATATTTTTCAATAAATGTGGGAGTCTGTGTGGAGAGGGGCAGAAAGGTGGGTCCTTGGAGAAGGCTGTGGAGGAGAATGTTGACACACTCGAAAGTTCTCTTCTTGCCTCCTCAACTCCTGGATCTGGAATGCTATTTTCTTGGGCTATTTTCTATGGGAACCAATCCCTGGCAGAGGGGCCAGAGCTCTAAGGCATTCTGGGAGTGAAGGAAGGCAGCCAGCACCTAGCCTCACAGAGCCCCAGTGCTGCTCCTTCTTGGTTCTTGGCGGTGTCCATGGGAGCTAAAAATGAAAGCAGGACTGCCTTACTAGATTCTCTCTCTCTCTCTCTCTCTCTCGTTCTCCTTCCTTCCTTCTTTCACTCTTTCTCCTCTTCCACCATGTTCTCCTTCCTTCACCCTCCTGCTTCTCAGAAACCATGTCAGAGCCCCTCTTTCCCCGGAAACAAAGCACTTTTTGTTTGTCTGTCATGATCATGCACATTTCATGAAGGAGAGTTCTCCATTTGTTTAATCTGCGTTATTGCACAATGTACTGTTCTCAGGCTGCTCTCCCTGTTCAGTGCTCTGAAGAGTTTATTCAGATTTTTAAGGTGGGGCAAACAAACATTTATAAAATACATTTAAAAATCAACTTTTGTGGATAGCTGCAGTGGAAGTGAGAGAAGGGAGAGTGGGACTGTGAGTTATACAACGAGATCCTGGGTGGGACTTTCACTGTTGCCTTGGGGCCCTATCTGAAAATACAAGGCAATGCAACACACCACACTCCAAAGCCAGCTGCCAGCACCAGGGCCTCATAATCCCCCCAGAGCTTAGGAGAGGCAGCTGAACAGGCCCCATTACCCGCAGTCATCACCCAGCAAACAAGGAGATTACCAGGACAAGGGAGGAGAAGGGAGAGGGAGCTACATTATTCTCTCAGTAGGAAGTGGTTCCTTTCCAATGCTTTCCCATGAGGTCATTCTCTCACTCCAAGGAATGGGAGAAGAGAAGAATTAAGAGAATCAGGTGCTATAAAGGGGGAGATTGGCACCTCACTCCATAACTACAGGCTCCATAGAGACTGACGAAGCCGTCCTCACTGTAGCTGCTGCTAGCATGACTGACAACAGTGAAGACTCCTATGTGCTATCTTGAGAACGAGCAATAATGGATAGGCAAAACTCTTAATTTTTTTTTATTGTAAAGGTGATGTACAGAGGGGTTACAGTTACAGGAAAGAGTGCATTTCCTTCCCTCCCTCCCTCCCTCCCTCCCTTCCTTCCTCCCTTCCTTCCTTCCTTCCTTCCTTCCTTCCTTCCTTCCTTCCTTCCTTCCTTCCTTCCTTCCT